GACAGCTGCTGGAGATGGTGTCGTTATGTGTCGTTGCATTATCAGCAGATCACCACAGAACGGCCTGACAAAACTCAGCGGCAAGGACCTTGATGAGAAAGGCGAGGAGCTCAGTCCATTCCCAATGGGCATTTGAAGCTGTTGGGTTGGGCTGTTGAATTGGTTCGACGCATGATTTATTGGTATATCCTAGAGGCTTCTGTTGCTTGAAAGTGCACAGTAGCCGTTGTTTTTGTGCCTGCCTGCTCGATCAGCGTGAAGACTCTTATACACTTTGAAAAGGATTGAACTTGAACACTTTAAGTCACTTAACTATTTGTTCAAAGAGTGGTCTTCAGATCTCCCAAAGTCTTCAGTCACTTTTCTGTCGTTTTCACACACACGGCAGCCTGAGAATTTGTGTGTGTGTGTGTCGCCTTCTTTTTCAACAGAAAAGACTCACATGGAGCTCTTGCAATCAAACAACTTTGGCATCGGGTGTTAAACCAAGAACTTCCACGTCTCACCCGGTCGGATCGGAAGGGCTCGACGATGTTCAAGAGGTCTTCAGTCGCGCCCAGCCTGTGTCTCAGGTCTTTCAGCCCTGCACCGAGCGGCTTGGGACGGCGATGCGGCGGAGGTGCAACGCCTCATCGAAGCTGGAGCAGATGTCGAACTCCAGGACAAGACCTCCGATCGCCAGGGGGCCTTGGAGACTCCAAAGGGTGTGGGATGCATATCCATCAGCCTTCCCACCTTGGCCACTTGAGAAAAGGGTTGCAGCAGCAGGTTTCACCCACAACACACAGAATCATGAGAAACAACCCAACGCGTCCCTGTCTCAGTTTGTGAATGCGCAAGTTGCACTACACTCACTACACCTGGCCCTGGAGCAACCCCAAAAGAAGTCGTTACAAGCTGCGCTAGAGAGGCGTTCATTTTTTTCTACCCAAGTCGGGTCATGACCGGTATTGTCACCAATAGAAGATTAGAAAGAAGAAGACCCGGCAGTTCTCGACCTTTTTTCGACCACTCAAATGCCTCTCTCCGCGCGGGTCCCGAGGCCAAAGACCTCTCCACTATGCGGCCGACAAGGGCCACGTGGAGGTCCTCGAGCGGCTCTTGGCCGCGAAAGCCACGGTGGACGCAGAGGATGAGGACGGCCGGGGAGCCCCGGAGCTCGGGACGCGGACCGAAGGCTGTGGAGACTGCGTCGACCGGATCCAAAGGGACTCGCTCCGAGTCACGAGGGTCGGGTGAAACATTTCATGGTGCACGCTGGGT